TGCTAGGGTGTGTGATAGGTAGGGATTTGACCGTTGAATTTAATTTGCTGTTTATCATGTTACTATCCTCCAAATTATAGCTCAATCTAACGGTGAACGAATTTAAAAATGCTAATTTACTATTTAGGACTCTAGCTGCTAAATCTAAAAAAAAGAAGAAAAAGTTAAAAACGTACCTAATAACTTATAACTCGGAGATCAAAATGATGATCTAACCATTGAAACTAACGATTTGGATGTCCCGAATGGGCTGACCAAATTTTAGTCCAATCCAACGGTTAATAAACTCAAAACTAATACTTTTCTGAGACTACCTCAAATATGTGTGAAAATTATATGCTTACTTCAAGCTCCACCTACTATCTTCTATATATAGACTCCTTAAGCTCTTTTCCTCTAATGATTAGTCGATGTGGGACTTCTATACCATAGTATAATTTTCTAGAATATCATCCACACACACTCACACATACTCACACACAAAAACATTATTAAAATAATAATTTGCCTATGTCTAAATTTTTATTAACTTAATATTAAAATATATTTATTTATAAATTTAATTAAATACTAGATATAAAAATACGGATGTTACACTTTTCTTTGCAGCCAGCCACATAGTAAAATGGGGCTTTGAGCAAATCTACTCCCGTGACTATGAAGCCAATATATTATAAAGTGTAGCCAAAATATAGATGAACATTTTTTTAAAAAAACAAATAGATGTTCATCGTGACAGGCCTGGCCAATAGGGGTGAGTTGCTTAACTTGCACGGATAAATGGTATGTCTGATGAATATTTGAAGAGAAAAGCTAGAAATATCTAATATAGTTGAACACGCTGAACACGCGGGTTAAAAATTAAAAAGGAAAAAAAATTGTGAGGAAGCACTTTATTATCTTCATATCTCGTGAAGAGGCGTGAGGCATCTAAGTTTTGCATATAAATTATATTACCTTCGTTTATAAATATAAAGTCTATTTTGTAATATAATTTAGATTACAAATTAAATATTATATTTAATATTGGAATTGGTATGTGTGTAAACAAATCCGACCACTGAAAATAGGTTCAATTCTGCATATAGCGATATGCTCCTCCGGTTTTTAATATAGAACCTAATTATTAAGTTAATTTTGATCTTAAATATATGACATATTTTTTATATTTATCAATTTTTTTATCAATTTTTTCTAAATTACCGAATACTTTCTCAACTATAATCAAGTAAGTGAGGAAGAAAGGATATTAAGAAATATGATTATGGTATTTTAGGAAAAACATATCATATTTTTTATAATTAACTAATTTACTTAACTTTTTTAATTTATTAAATTAGTTTAAAAAGTCTTATATTAAAGACCAGATGAGTAGTTTGTAAAGTTTATTTTTTCACGCATGAAGACTGCCAACTTTAGACGCGTGCACATGTTTCTTTAAGTAAAGCTTTTCTCAAAAATATTTTTTTATCAAACTTTTCCCAAAATATTGGACAATATCAACGCACGTATGCAAAACAAAAAAATAAAAACAACTTTCATTTGCCAGTATTATTTGTTTTTCAAGGGTCAAACTGATAATAATATGCAGAGCGACTTATTTTTATAATATTATCATCTGCCTTTAATCAACCAAACATTGAGGAAAATCCCAAAAGATTATATGCCAAGCAGGCAAGTAGATTAAAATATTTCCACTTTAGTTTGTTTATCCGAGGAGGATATACTTCACAGAATTCAGTTTGAGTGCTTGATGGAAATAAACTGATTTGGTCCTTTTCTTTTCTTATGTAAAATTTATTGATATGCTGTGGTGATATAGTTCATTTTCTTTGTTTTTTTTTCCCCCAGTCCTGACAGGTGATAACTCAATGTGTTTGTAGAATCCCGAAAATTAACAGTAATTCTAGACCAGGTCAGTCAGAGCTATTTTCAATTTTTGTAGTTTTTTTTTAAGTAATTGTAAACGCACCAAAAAATGTCAGAGAAGATTACTGAAAATTTTTCCACTGCAAAATCTGTTGTTTAAAAATACCTAAAATTTATTTAAGAACTCATATACAGCTTATATAGAACTATTTGTAAGATGAGATGTTGCATATGGTTAAAGAAGGATTATACCCATCGAAAATAAGCTGCACTCATTCAAGAAATTAAGTCTCTAAGTATTTCTGGCCAGTAAATTTTATAATAATGAATTTTTCACAATTTTCTCAAAACATAAGATTTGAACCCCATTGTGCTAATTCTATGAATAATTATTGTTTTGACGCTTAATTCAATAACAACACATTATTAAACAACAAATGTTTGGGCGAGTTGGATCCCAATCAAAGTTCAAACTTCAAAGAGCTCTTATAAATATGTTTATAAATCATTTACTAATAAGGTTGTACATTTGCAGTGAGATCTGAACTCAGGAATTATTCATTATGAGTTAACTTCGTGTGTGCTCTGTTCGCCGCCCCAGCTCTCTTGTGTGTGTTCCGCGGATGAAGAAGATGAATAATTGAATATTAGGTTGGGTGTTTTGCTCCCCTTTTTTTTTAATTATTTTTTTATTATATTTTTTTCTTTTTTTTTTCTTTTTTCTTTTTTCTTTAAATTTTCATTTTTATTTTTAAATCTTCCAAAAACCTGCAAACAAAATTCAAGGATAAGGTAGCATTAATTGTCCTAAAAAATCAATTAGTCACAATTAAACCAAAATATGACAATTTTACCCCTAAAAAATAATAATTCAAAATAAAACATATTAAATCAATTAATAAATCAATTAAGGTCAAAAGGGACTAATTAAGTTGACAAAACCCATATAAAAGATATCAAAATATATAAAAATAATTGAGTTTGTCAAACGCGTGCACATGTTTCTTTTAAGTAAAGCCTTTCTCAAAAATATTTTTTTTTAATCAAACTTTTCCCAAAATATTGGACAATATCAACGCACGTATGCAAAACAAAAAAATAAAAACAACTTTGATTTGCCAGTATTATTTGTTTTTCAAGGGTCAAGCTGATAATAATAGGCAGAAGCGACTTATTTTTATAATATTATCATCTGCCTTTAATCAACGAAACATTGAGGAAAAAACCCAAAAGATTATATGCCAGGTAGGCAAGTAGATTAAAATATTTCCACTTTAGTTTGTTTATTGATATGTTGTAGCGATATAGTTCATTTTCTTTGTTTTTTTTTTCCAGTCCTGACAAGTGATAACTCGATGTGTTTATAGAATCCAAAAAATTAACAGTAATTCTAGACCAGCTAATGACTTTTCTTTTATTACGTACGGTCAGTCAGAGCTATTTTCAATGTTTGTAGTTTTTTCTAAGTAATTGTAAACGTACCAAAAAATATTAGAAAAGATTACTGAAAATTTTTCCACTGCAAAGTTTGTTGTTTTAAAATATTTAAAATTTATTTAACAACTCATATGCAACTTACAAAATGAGATGTTGCACAATGCACATGGTTAAAGAAGGATTGTACCCATTGAAAATAAGCTGCACTCACTCAACAAATTGAGTCTTTGGGTATTTCTGGCCAATAAATTTTATAATAATGAATTTTTCACAATTTTCTCAAAACATAAGATTTGAACCCCATTGTGCTAATTCTATGAATAATTATTATTTTGACGCTTAATTCAATAACAACAAATATTATTAATATAAATAGGTTGTAAGATAAAAATTAATAAAAGATTTTATTTCTGTTTAAACAACAAACGTTTGGGCGAGTTGGATCTCAATGAAAGTTCAAAGAGCTCTTATAAACATGCTTATAAATCATTTACTAATAAGATTATACATTTGCAGTAAGATCCGAAAGGGATATATAATTAATTCATAGGTGACCCACATGATGACTGGGGACCTCAGCATCAATTCATCCAGCCCCTCCAGGAGTACATCTCACTGTTAATTAAAAGCACCGACTTTATTAATTCATACTTTGAATGAATTTGAATAACGCACGAGCAGTTTGACAATCTTCTACCTAACATGTTCAATTTCAAGTCAACTATCAGCTTGTTTGGTAAGACGTTTTGGAGGAGAAAAAATAACTTGTAAGTATGATAAGCCAATTTGTAAATTTGAAAGCTATTTGTTTTTTTTGTCAATCTAACTTATGGGTCAAAAGCTGATTTTTTTTAAAAATACGTTTGTAAAAGTACTTAAAACTTATTTATGATTTTTGTAAAAGTAGTTTTTTGAAATTAAAAGGCAGATTAAAAATAAGTTACTTTTTCTACTGCTAATTGAAATAAACTATATGTAATCACTATATCATGCGAATGCCTTTAGCTTCACTGGTTTAAGCATGTATAGTGGAAAGCGGAAACCTGAAATCATCAAAATTCAATCATCATCATCATAAAAATATAAAATTTAAAGGGAATTACATCATGGAAAATCTATAAACAGCAGGATAACTGTTTTTTGGGGGTTCCAAGAATGTTTTATTATTTGAATTTAAACATTCTAATGTTTTGTTGTCGTGGCTCGGCCCAAGTTGATATAGGGCGGACAAGATCGAGCTAGATTGATACCGGGATTGGGTTGGCCCACCTCCAAAAAATATTTATTAATAAAATAAAAATAAAAATTAATTCTATTTATTGATCAAGTTTCGGAAGCAATATTATGCAGAATTGTGAATACTCAATAATTATATGTACTAATATTAATTCCGAATAAGCCTCAAAATATTGAAATAAAAATATATACAAATATATTTGCTGAGACGGACCAAACCCCAACCCAGCATATTCACAGGCCAGTTATTTTTCACAAAATTTTCACTTTCCAGCCTGGCCCAATTTATAAATTTTATACAATAAAAACTAATGTTATAGAAGAATTAATGCTTTGGTATTGGTAATTTTTCTACCATTTTGAGTTTTGGCCCAAAACGCTCTCTCAGGCCGCAGAAAATGTCCAAGTTCATCGTCTCACGTAACTCTGGTTCACAGAACAGAATCAGAAAGGGAAGTCTAACTCAATTTCTTTGTGACCCCAATCCTCATAAGAGCAGCATAAGCCAAAAGTCTATAAGCTACCAGCATTACCCCTAAAGCCAGTGCAGCCACAATTTGGCCTTCCAAACCAACCCCCATCTGCTTTATAGAAGGGAAATCTGCAACCAAACACTGCCCTTCAGAACAAGGGTACGTGTCCCTAACACCATACTGGGACCCCACAAAGAGCTTGAAAGTGTAATGACTGATAGACACGTACTTGATCCAAGCTATAAACTTTGGCACATTTTGAACGAAGAACCCACCAGCCAGCATGAAGCAGAGCATGATGACAGAGCCAAGTGTGGTTGCTGTTTTCTGATCCATGAGCAAAGCACCTAAGGCTAGGCCTAGGCCTTGTGAGACCAGGACAGCGAACAAGAGACTAAGGAGAGTGAAGAAGAAGCTTAAGAGGCTGGGTTTTAGGCTTGCCATCCAGTAAGTGATGGTAAGGAAGATCGTGGGAAGAACTAGCTCCATTGGAAGATCACCCACGATTCTTGACATGAAGTATGAAGAGAGTCTGTAAGTTCCGGAAGATCGTTCTTTCTGAAGCATCATTCTTTCTTGAGGGAAGGTGAAGATGGCATGGAACATAGGGACGAAGCCCCAGAAGCTTACAACAAAGAATAGAAGCCCCACCTGCAAATACAACAAGACAGTGTCCTCAAGATCGAATCTTTTGATTCATATTTCTTTGGAACTGAAGAGATGAGAAAGATTGTTAATTACTTGATCCTGCAAGTGTGATATATCAGACTTATACCATAAAAGTCCTGCGATAGTTGCAACTATGAGTATCTGAGCAATCCTCAGGCCAGAGAAGGATTCATGCCTTCTCTCTTTGACTCCTCTTCTAAGTAACACAAACAATTGCTGGCTCCATGTCGTAGGCCACCTCCCAAATTCTCTGTCTTGAGGCCGATCTTGCTGACTTTGACCAGAGACGCCTCTCTCTTGAAGCTCTGCTTTCAATTGAGGCTCAATGCGGTTCGTGTATTCGGATTTCAATTTACTCTTGATTAAAGCATGATGTTCTGTTGATTCATTGGAGTAGACACCTACAAGAAATTACATAATTGTATATGTATATATCAGGTCAGAAGAAGTTTCAGTGCTAAAACTAAGACAAAAATCACACACATTATTTGTACTGGGATGCTTGGTTTCAATCAGGCCTCGTCCAAGTTCTCTAGTGCCAGGCAAACATGACAATACTGGTGTTACCATTAGGCACAATGCACAGTTACAACTGAGATTCATAATGTCTTGGGTATACCTAGTACCATCGCTTGAGTTGAACTTATCTCAAAAGATTACTGTACAAGATAAGAACACCTCAAAATGCTCTTATACACACAGACGTGTGTGCGCGCGTGTAATTTATTTCCCAAAATAAGACTTATCAGTCATCATTGTTGCTGCATAACACATATCATTTGCAGATTAAAGTAGGATACCGCCATTCTGTAAACAAATGATAAGAAAGCTAACAAGACCTTTTATCACTCATCATAAGATGGAATAAAAAGAAGATATTGGAATGAATGAAGAGGTGCCATAAATAAGAAGGGATGCATATATTTCCACATATATATACTGGGCGTTCTGAATCTTTTGAAATTACAGCTAAATACAAACATACCATTTGCAAGATCCAAAAGGAAATCTGCAGGGTTCATGGCAACAGCTGGGGAAAACCCAATACTAGAAAAATACTTTACGGCTTCAGATCCTTTACCATAGTACACTGAGCTTCCTTCAGATAGCAACATAACCTTATGAAACATGTAATACAACCTACTAGAAGGTTGGTGTATGGTCATGACAACAGTTTTACCCTTGTTGGCTAGTTCCCACAAACACGACACGATCCTCTGAGCTGTGGTCGAGTCAAGGCCGGACGTAGGTTCGTCTAGGAAAAGCAAGCTAGGGTTTACCAGCATTTCTTGCCCAATGCTAACCCTCTTCCTCTCTCCCCCAGAAACCCCTCTCAAAAGGGTGTTCCCAATTATGCTATCTTTACAGTTGGTTAAACCTAATTGTGTTATAACGCTTTCGGCCTGCAAAATCTTTTCCTGTTTGGTGAAACTATTGGGAAGTCTGAGGAGTGCAGTGAAAACTAGGGTTTCTGTGACAGTCAAGTGTGGGTAGAGAACATCATCTTGAGTGACAAAGCCTGTGTTTCTCTTCATCGAGTTAGAGAACTTGTCGCCATTGTAGGTTATGGTCCCTTGAAGCTTCCCTCCTCCGAGCCGGCCTCCCAAGGCCGTTAATAGAGTTGTTTTGCCACTCCCAGATGGACCAAGCATGGCCAGAACTTCACCTGGTTCAATCATGCCACTCACTCCTTTGAGGATTATTTTTTCTTCTTCTTTCACCTTTTTCCAAATTGTTAATCCTTGTTTCTTGGTCTTGATTTTATACACAACATCCTCGAACTGCATAAGCACCAACAACAAGATTCGTCCCACATGTAACTTGGTTAAAATCCACTGGTTTTTGTATAGGCGGTACATGACATGACTGTTTCATCAGTGAAATTCAAAGTATCTGATATGAATAACAATTTGAGACAAGACATCTATTTTCATATATCAGCGAGTAAAAAAGAATTGATTAATTAATCATGGTGTTTAATTTAGATGAGGGTTCACTTTGAAAATACTACAATAGGATACATATATGAGAGCTTGATAATAATATACCACCTCCGTTCCTAATTATGCAACCTAAACTATAAACGGGGTTTTATAATTATGACTGGAGCTAGTAATAATTATAAGATTACCTTGAGAGTAACAGGACGATTCCTCTTCTGAGAAATGTCTGGAACAGATCCGTTAGTTGTTGGAGCCTCAATGTCTGGCATCTCTTAGATCCATTTGCTTTACACAAACACACTTTAATTAGCTAACGTAGACACCTTTCGAAACCCCTTTTTGATTGCGCAATTATAAATTCTGCAGATGGATATTCAGAATTGAAGATAGATGTTGAACAAAAAGATTGTGTGTCAGTGTGATGTGAATATGAGAAAAACGAGAGGCGTAGGGGTTTTGGCTTCATTCATACATCTCTGATAATTTGAAGCGTCAGATTCTGGTTCAACACTTCCGCTTTCAGTGCTTTATGAGATTTGTTCTGTTATAGACACATGGTTAAATAAGCAAACTTGAAGCCTACATGGAAATTATTAAGATGTTTAATTATAATATAATTTAATAACTACGGGAACATATAACCTAAAAATAACATATGTTATAGAAAAGGGAGAATCCCATTTAAATCTACTTGAAATACTGAAATTCGAAATTAGGCTTTCACTTTGAATAATTTCTAATTAGGCCAAAGGCCTAATTAGAGATTTATGAATATTGTTAAAAGACCAAAATGTCCTCTATAATTAAAATATGAGCTGATACTTATATATTTTTCTCCCTTGTGAATTTTTTTCTTAAAATATGAAAATAATAAATTATAACACTATCCTCAATCTAAAATCTGTAAAAAGTTTGTTGTCTGAGTAAGTTTTTCACTCTTAAAATGTAAGCGTGTTCTATTAAAAACATATACGAGTTCAATAAAAAAAATTGTATGTGTGTGTATAAAATATTTGGAGGATGGATCAATATTAAAATCAAGCAGTAGTTAAACCCATTCAAAATTAAAATCTATCAGTTACCTACACTATGACATTGATGATGGTATTAGAGTAGTTATTAATATGAATCAAGGACTGTATTGTAATTTTCTATCATCTACTAAAGATTTATTATTTTCAAATTTCAGGAAAATCCGGCAAAAAGAAAATCTCAAGAAAAGACTTTGTGAGGAAAAAAAAATATAAAAGTAAAAAAATCATATTATAATTATAGAGGGGTATTCTAGACTTTTAACAATATTTATGAATTCCTAATCAGGCCTCTTGACCTGATTAGAGATTTCTTCAAAGTGTAGGTCTAATTCAAAAATTTTAGTATTGCGGTTATATTTAAATGGGATTCTCCCCGCAGAAAATTGTACTGCTAAACAATTCATAGATAATCCCGTTGGTATTACCATGCGCATGAATAATAATACTTATTTAATATATAAAATAAATTAAAATAATATGTTTTAGTTTATAGCAGATAAAAAATGCTTTTTCTTAGAAAATGTAATGATAAAGTATTATAGTAATTATATAAAATTCGTAAAATTATAGACGCTAAAAGCATATGCATCTTGGGGAATAGGCCTTATTTCATCAAGTGATTTTTAGAAAGCATAAAAGGAACTATTATAAGAAAACGGGAGAACAATCTATCCACAAAAAAAAAAAGAGAGAGTGAATAGGACAATCCAAACACATTAAAAAGCCAAAAAGAAAAAAAAAATCATGGCATTTTCACACATATGTACGAAATTTTTATTTATATGATATTAATAACTAGCATGCTTTGCTTGTGAATTGTGGTTTATGTCTAATCCTCGCATCATTTTAAGGGTGTTCACTTTAAATGATAAGAAAAGCCGGTTTAGAGGAGAGACTCTCGAAATGAACCATTCCATAATTAATTTCAGGATTAATTAAACTATTACTTTGCAGAGCATTAAATTAACAATATGGCTACCACCTCGTCAAGGTAGCCACATGCCCACATTATCAGGTAAACTTTTCATCAATAAATTGATTCGCATCCAGCTTCATTAGTTTTAAAAGTACACATTCATTATTTGTTTTCATTGAAGAGATGTGAATGTGACCAAAATAACAAAAGAAGATAAAAGAAACTTGGTTAATTAGTGGATAAATAAACATAAATAAGCAAAACGTGATGTAATATGAAAAGCTGATGAATAATGCGGTGAGTGCGTGCAAGCAAACAATTACATTTTCAAAGCCGTGTGCCTTTATGCCATGCCAAACCCATGCCCGCTTAGTCACGTAAGTTCCCTAATCTGATCTCTGTGTAATTTTTTACCTTCCTAGTCTATGTGTAATTACGCTTGCTTTAATTATAGATCTTCAATTGGGGAAAAAAAAAAAGGAATATAATGGATCCGTTTAAGTAGTTTGTTTATATTTTAAATAAATCATATATATTTTCAATGCATATAATAATTTGAAAGTTTCCTGAAAAATTACTTTCAGGTTTCAAGTAAGAAGTTTCATTATGCAAGGTCCGTTCAAATATTCAAATTAATCTCAAATCGTAAATGGTCAATTTACAAATGCCTATAGATTCCTTGGAACTTGAAACTAATTTGAACATTTTAACTTTTAAGGGATCTTGCAGTAACAAAATCTCTTACTTGAGACCTCATCATGTACTTTGTTTTTTTCATGTATCTTTCTAATATTTAATCCTATCAGAAATTGTGAAGAAATATTGAACTAATAAAAATAAAATTGCACAAAGCACACGTGATAAAAATGCTTGAAAATCTAAATAAAACTAAAGGTAAAGTCATTATTTATTGCGGCGCATAATTAATACAGCTCTCCATGATTTTGATATTTTATGTTGACATATATATTTACATTGATTAATCAGGAGATAAAATTCACTCACTGGGTAGGTATATACGTAGACATAAACTTGCTTACATAGGTCAGTTGTATTACAATTAGTTAACAAATCAAACTTTAAAGGGGAGAATTCTTACGTAGAGCATTTATGAGTAAAAGTTCAAATCCCTTCAAGCCAAGAAGCTGGCTAGTCGGATAGAAAGGATAGCCTAACATGTCAATAACGGTGCTCATCGACTCATATGTAGGTATGGTTCCTTCTCTTCCTACCAATTTTTGGTTACAAAAAAACTCACTTTCTTCTGTTTCTTTATTTCATAGTTGGGTACTAAACTTCAGACTTTGTTTCGTTGCAGTAGTAGTGCCTGCCACTTACTTGGCCAAAACTTTAATTTGTATCATTTTCTTTTCTGCTTCTATATGTATTCTCCAAAGGACTTCCTGGTGGTTTTTCTTTTTTTTGCCCCTTCAGTTCAAATGGAAGGGAGGGAACGGGTTGTGCGTTTAAAATGGAATGATTCGGACCATTGTGATGAAATCTTAAATTGAGAATAATGCATTATTTATAGGAGTCACTAAAATAAAAATTTTACTCTTAATTGAAACTGTTTAATTAGTGTATTCAATGAAGACAGAAAGTCGCCAGTTTCTGAGAAAGTGATTGATTTTCCAAAGATTCTTTACTATCCACATGTGCAATTCTTTTTCTGGCTGAGAAATGGTATCACTAAAAGGGTTGAGCATCAAAACTATAAAGAAAGTGAAATTAAAAAAACAAAAGAGAAGAGATATGATCCATTGCTGAATTGACAAGAGAGAGAGAGAGAAAAACCTCATAAAGGTAGGTTTATACAACAGATTGTGTGATTTGTTATGGTTTGTTCCCATTTTTGATTTCCTTCATCGGTCAATCCAAAACATAAGTAAGAAAGCACGATAGAAACTTGAAAAGAAAGCAATGGATTGTGATCAAGAAATCAAAGACAGATTGATCGAATTTTGCAGAAATTAACGTACCGATGCATCATCAATCTGCTGAAACTCTGCGGAAAATTCTTCAAATCGCTTCCGAACAGATCTTCAGTTCACAGAAATGCTATTCTCATCAGTTCATTAATTGATTGTGTCATGTGGTGATTTCCCAACTCCATAATTTCTCTTTTCCCCTTTTATTATTTTCGTCGGCACTTTCATTATTATTAATGCTTGTATATGATCTTATAAATGCACACTTTTTATTTCTTAACTACTGATCAATACTTTCTAATGATCTTTTTCTGAGAAAATTATAAGTATATTTGTGATTGTTTTGGCAAGTCCTTTAATTAGAATATGATAACTTTAGCGGTTGGCGGTGGCCTGATACATACATACACTCGACTCTCATTAAAAGATGACAAACTTGCATGTGTGTGTGTGTGTTTTTTTTTAAATAATTAGAAAAATTATACGTGGATATATATAATATTTATTAAATTATTACTATTTTGATTCTTAATGTAAGATTTAATTAAATAATTTAAATAAATTAAATAGATTAGTTAAATTAGTTAATATGATTTTTTCTTAAAACACCATAAGTATTTTTTTTAATTCTTTCCCTTTCTTTTTTATTTGATCATTGTCGAGGGAATATCAATAAAATTAATTTTAAAAAAATTATAAAGATGTGAAATAAGTATTACATATAAAATTAATATTAACTCTCAAATTAAGTCTTACGTTAAGAATTGGAGTATAATTTTTTATTTTAATCAAAAGATTAAGTAATGTAGCAAGAATTTGGATATGAATTTGTTATGAATTCTTAGTCGCCAAGCGGTCAAAATTATCCTGGGAGTTTGAATTGTTTGGGCCTATTTTCAGTTAGGCCCAATTTAAATTTAGGGCCTCAATATTAAACCTTTTGCTTTTGCAGGAGCCCCGATGTTAAACCTATTTGCACGCTTGGTTCACAGCATCATTAACAAGGCAACGCAAAAAAAAAAAGAGTCAATGGGTACAAAAGAGTTGAATGGTAAATGACTTAACGAACACTCTTTGAACAAAAGAGTTGAATTGTAGCTCTATGAACTAAAAAATTTGCATCAACACAGTTTTTCTTTAATTGGGATTCCAACCCTTTGAATATTTGTTTATTCATAATGCTGACGAGAATCTCTTTAGAATATTTATTGGGCACGGTGTTTTAAAAATTATTTAACTATTTGCATACTCTTATATTTAAAATGCCCTTCTTTAAAAATAATTATACAACACCAACAATTAATGAATTATCTTCGTTAATGTAAGTTTAGGGGAAAAGAAGTAAATTATTTAATAAACAATTTGAACTTTTGGCCAAAAAAAAAAGGGAAAAAAGAACCATGTTCCTTAACATGGATGAGATGGTTGATAGACTTGTGAAAAGGACAAAAGAGGGCATCCATTAATGACAACAACAAAAAACTATACTCACGAAAAATCTAATCATTTTATATAAAAAATATATATTATTTAATCATGAAAATACTTCATTTGGCCTTAAATGAATATTAGTTATTCTAAAACATTCATTTAATTATATGCACGGAAAACTGCTCTATATTGATGGAAACTTCTCTTTTTATGCATATAAACACAGTTAGTAGGGATAGTTTTAAAAAAATAAATTTAAAAAATAAAATGAAATAAAATATTATATTCAAATTAAAAAGAAGAAAGAAAAAGAAAGAAAAAACTCACTGAAGTAAGTAGATAAGAGCAATTAAAGGCGGGAGGCTCAGCTGGTTTGTTAGGAAGAAAGAAAAGAAGGAAAGTGAGTTGGTGGGACTTAGGAGAGAGGGTTAGTGACTGACCCTCACATCCCAAAGACTGTTAGTTAGCCGCAGACTCCCCAGAACATATCAAGCTTATGTCTACCTATCTCACCATCTGTTACTTAGCGTCCCCATGATATGACCACAAATCTTTCATCCGTAAGCCCAGAGGAGGAAGAAGAAGAAGAAGAAGAGGAAAAGAGATAGCTAGAAGACGAAGCAGACATATATATCTCATCAAGTTAAAGAAAGATGAGTTGTGGAGCTGAGATAGCGATGGTGATGGCGGGTCTGTGGGGTATGCTGGTGAGGCCAATGTTACTCACTTACATTGCTGAAACTGCTGAGGCCATCGCCTCTTCTTTTCTCCGATTTGCTTCTGCAGTGTCGTCGTCGTCTTCTTCACCTTCCTCTCTTCTTCCTTCTCACTCTGCTCACATTCCTTTTTCTGTTCACCCATTCTTCTTCACCTAGTTGCTTCTTTCCATCTCTCAGCTTGTACCAGGCGCTTACATGTATTGTAACTTGACTTTGATTTATAGTTCAAGTTTCCATTTCCTTTTCATTCTCTTGTCTTTATTATTCCCAAAGTGGGACATAATCTGATAGATGAGGACTTCCTCCTCTTCTTTCTACTTAATTAACTAGGGTTTGAATTTTCACTTCACACGCCTCAAGGTGCTTTCATTTTATGAATATCCATTAATCTCTTTCCTCATTTTAATTAAGCAAGCTTGTGCGTGTATTGATGTGCGTCTTAATTACTCAAGCTTCATTCCATGAAAAGCAAATTAAATAGATAAATAAATCCTTTCATAGTGGCCAATGATTCTTACAATTCAAAATTGTAGTGATTTCTTGAGGCGCTCTACAGATATATAATACCTTGTAGTTAATTGTAATGATTTATATTGAATTATTGACGACTTTCTTAAATCTTGAGCATTTGTGTGGAGGATGGGTGGAAATTAAGATGGGTTAATTATTGGGGCAGGGCCCAAGTTAAGTGGGCCGCCCAAATTAGATTTGCAAAGTTGATCTTTTTCAAGCTCCTTGTTTTCGTAACGGACGATGTTAGGCCCCTCAAATTAATCCCAATCCCCCCCTCTTAAGTTCTAATTAATTACTCTATATACGTTGATAAAAGTATTAGTTAAAATTAACCATTCTTGGGTAAAATATTATTCTTAATAAAAATTATTGGTCAGAGGAATTTAGTTAATTATTTCAAAACTAATGCTTTAAAAAAATATGTTATATTATGAAACATGCATGTAGGAAATTCTTGTAGTAAATATCAGAGGGGTTGGTGGTATTCTAATATTTATACATTTATTAAATTAAGTGTTAATATAAATCATTAACTAGAAACGTTTTCCTACGTATTGCAATTTCTTAAACATTACACAATTTTTTCCTTATGCCATTGATGCAGGAAGCTCCCCGGACTTTTGCTTTACATTTTCATTTTGTTGCTACTTAAATTATTTGGTTTAACTATGTTTGTATAATTTTATATTTTCCCCACTCTTCTAGATTTAATAATTAATCCTGATTTTCTGTTACCTTTACATTTGATTAATACTTATATTTGAATTTCTCCTGTTAAGTCATCTCAGGTTCCTCATTTACATCAGGACACGTTTTTTCCCTTATTTTTATCAGCTAGTTAGCAATTATTTAACTTATTTTGTGGAGTAGTAATGTTTAAACCGGTAAATGGTTATGATACTTTTCAACAGTTCCGTCAAACATATAAGTTGAAATGTAATATTGTTTGTAAAATTTCCACGAATAAAGGTGAGATAATATTTTATCTATTTATTTCAGTTTAGCCATACCCCTTCATAGATCTTAACCAATTTCTTGAATCACAAGGAGAGTAGATGATAGCCAGAAAATTCTGAAAGCTTTCTAAAATAGAATAAATATTTCATCAAATAAATAATTAATCAATCGAGGCTTCTCTGCTTTTAACTAATTAGATTCTAAAGCTTCTTGGATTCTTCATTTCTCTCAGACAACAATGTGATGACTTTGACTTTGATTTCTTCAACATTTGAAGCCGGCTAACAAAACTCTACTATATTGTATATTAATTTTGAATTAAACATACAATTTCATTATTCATATATAAAAAGGACGGATAAGAATAATATATTCTCCACATAGGAAGGAAACATTTCTATTATTACAATGTTTTTTCCTTCTTAATATTGTGCGCGTACAATTATAAAATACTCATGGAGTCGCTCTTTATTAATTAAATCTCTTAATTACACTTGTTTAATGTGAAAAATATGTCTGGGTACTGAGTTGGCTGAACCTTATCGATCAAGTTCAACTTTTCAAGATCATATTAATCATCATTTCATTAAGAACATTATTAATATCATCAAATTATATAATAAAACAAGCTCACCGAAAACATAATTTGTAAAAAAGAAAGTAAAAATAAAAGAAGTATTGAGCATTGATATTAAAATTCCCCATGAAGTTAAGAGTGAATGAGGAGCCATATAACTACCGGATACAGCATATTTTTACATGCCTTACATATAGTATGTAATTTCTGGAAGCACAACCATGAACCATTATTACAAAAAATGGAGAAAAAAAACTGAAATACTATATATACGAGACATGTCGTTTGCAGTATTGACATCTGGGCAAGACAACATTCAGATCCACAAAAATCATCAGGGTGGAAAAATATATAATATATATAGTTAATTATATATTATTATATCATTCAAACTGCCATTGGCAGCTTGTTTTCATCGTCTAGCTCCATCATTGTGCTGATGATGATATCAGAAGCGCAACTGACAATGTCTGAAAAGTTCCTGAATTTCCACGAAAAAAAAATCCAATTAAAAAATCTGCCCCCCCCCCCCCCAAAAAAAATCTCTAGCATGATGAGAAATCATTTCAATTCATTAATTATATGCGTACCCTGTGGAGGAGTCGAAGGTAAGACCGACGGTGTACTTAGCCTCCTCAAGAGCCCACTTGAACCGCCGGAGCTGCTCCGGCCCCACCGACAACTTTCTGGTGTCAACAACCCGCAACTGCGACGGCTTAACGTCGCAGAAGATGGGAATCAGCTTCTTCTGGCGCTCCAACATGAGCGCCAACTCATGAAGGCAGAAGAAGGATTCACAGTAGTGAGGAGAGAAGACGGCGACACCGACCTTGCACTCAAATATGGCGTTATTAATCTTGTGAAAGAGTTTATCTCCAGGCTTCAGCGTCTTGTTGTCCAAGAAAGGAGAAAACCCTAGGCGGCGAAGATTGTCGTAGAGAAGAGGGGCCACAGTTGTTTTTGTGTCGATGCCTCTGTGGCTTAAGAACACATCACAGCGACCATTGCTGAGAAGGTTTGGTGGAGGATAATAGGGCCTGAAATTCCTGCCATGGAAGTTCAGGGCCAGGGATCTGTACTGCATCATTATGCTTACTGGGCTTGGAGTGAAGAGAGCTGCGGCGTAAATCTAGCCATAGACTCAGATCTCTATATATAGCGTAGAGATGATGAGTCTGGAGGTTGATTCTGGGGGTTTCAGTGGAATAGTTCTGAGGAATATTTGGTTCTTGAAGCCATTTCGGAATTTCATGGAAAGAGAACTTCACAATCCGACATTTTATAATTTGTGGGGTTTTACACTTGAAAAGCAACTGAATTTGGCACCTCTAATTTAGGACCGGATGTAATACTTATTTTGGGAATAAACAAATGAAGAATGAAAAACATTATCGACGAGGTTAGGAGAGGATCCTTGGATTTCTTAAACATTTTGTAAATGATATGATTTCTAGTTATGTACATGAAAAACTCTTATTAAGGATAGGAGATAAGACCCAGTTTTGTAATCAACTAGCACGTTATTGTTTATAAATTACTTGTATCTCAAACCCGCAAATTGAAAAATATATTAAATTAATTTTTTTTTATATTTGTTCTTATTAAAAAAAGCATATTAAAATATATATTTTATATTTCATCTCACCTCTTTATTTTTTTCTCTCTCCATGCATTTATTAAGTTAACAGAGATAACATTGAAAAAGTTCATTCATTACCCTGCAAGTGGATTAGGAATAAATTTAACAAGTAACTTATAAATAGAAACCAATAGGGATTCTGTCTAGTGAAAGGGACTAGTTTTCTGTAACGTGGTAAACCAAAATTCGAACATCTGTAGGAAAAGATGTCCATATTTAATACTCGACAGTATTTAAAAAAATTGTATTCAATAAAAAAATATCTGTGACTATTAAAAAAACTTAAAAATAGAAAAATATAGTGGTATATATACTAAAAATCATTAGTAATTGGTCGTGGGTTAAAAGATACCCGCGGTACCTACTAAAAGAAAGAAACACTAATCATCAAGGGTAAATTTTGTACAAATAAAAAAAAATTGAATTTACCTAATTTTTTATACTTGTAAAGTAAGAAGTTGTAACTTATATTTGGAATATAGGAGGTAATTTTTTTCCTTATAAAAAAGTGAAAAACAGACACACATAAATAAATACATATTATCTCTAGTTTTTAATATAAGAGTTAGTTAGTAATTAATTTGATATTAAATATAAGATCTCAATTCATTTTGCTTTCCAAATTTATAATTCATTCTCCAAATAATATTCTTATTGATTATATATATCAAGGAAGTTTCCATTCAATTGTAGCCATGATTAAAAAGATATTTTAAGAAAATCAATTTATATTTATTACAAATAACTAACTTAACTTTTTTTTAATATTTTTAAATTAGTTACCAGCTCTTATATCCAAGGGTGGTACATATGTATTTACATGATTTAAGAGAAACAAGCATAGCAGCATCAATTAATTAATCAATCACTTTAGATAGGCAACAAATTGAGATCCGCGTTTTGTTGCATGTTCAGAGTAATTTCATCTTTCTCGTTTTTTATTCGTTCATTGGGCTTGACCTCCTTTTGTATACAATATCGTTTGCTCTGTCTTTTTTAGTTGGTTCATGCTCATGCATGTGAGCTCCTTAAGACTATAATATATTTTGGAGAAAATATTATAAAGATACTCACATATCACTTACCAATAAAATCTTTATATCAGTAGAGAAATTCGAATCCACAATCTTACGGGTTATAGGTTATGAACCGACTTCTTACTAATTAGACCAGCCCTTATTGACAAATATCCTTTGGTCATTAATTGTGAAGGGATGTCAACCCAAAATGTTCCTTTTGATTCTTTTATATAATCACAATTTTAGAGTTTTCCTTGCCCACTAAGCTGTATCAATGATTAATTAATATCGATATTATTATTAGTGATTAACAAAACTAATATTATCCTCAATGCAATCCACAAGGTTTGAGTTTAAATTCAAGCATGTGAAATGGAAAATTCATAGAAATCCTACATTAACATATAAAAAATTGTTTTATTTTATAATATATTGGTATTGATTCACATAAATATATATGCTGCTGTTTATAGTTAAACATCATGTGCATCTTTTTTTTTTGGGGGCCAAACATCACATGCATCTTTGAAGAGCAAAAAATATGGAGACCATATATTACATAGAGACGTCATCTTTAAGTCAAACAAGCTTATTAGATTTAAGGTATAAAAGTTTTCCATATAAATATATAAGAGGTTGCGGATTTGATTCTGCTGCTGCTTAGTAATATATACTACCTCCGATCTTTAATATAAGATCTCGTTTAATTTTTATTTTAGTCCTAATTATAAGATCTTAATCTACTTTGTCTCTCATATTTATACATTCTTTCCCAAGATAGTCCCTCTAATAATGGTAATTCTAACCAATAAACTTAATTAGCAAGGTATTTTAGGAAAGATAACGCCTATCTATTACAAATAACTAACTTAACTTATTTTCTTAATCTCTTCAAATTAGTCAACTAGCTCTTATAATTAGGACCGGAGGTAGTACATTCATGGGAAGTGTCATCGTATGCAGAATTTCAAAGTAGAATAATTTCTTTAGATTCTTTGATTCCTGAGGAAAACTCTCAGGAAAAACACTACTTTTACTCGTATGTCTGTTCATAAATGTAAGTGTAGCTTACTAATCTCTTAGCTTATATGTATAATAATACTAATAATGACTACAATAGAATGAATATACGCAAGAATATATGAAACTTATTATACAGTTGTTAGTCAATTAATTGAGAACTAGGCAGCTTGTTTTATTTTTAAATATATCTCGACGGAGGTTTACGTGTTCAGATTACTGAAATTAAATGGAAGCCAAACATTGAAAAAAACCAGACGTCATCACTCGTTGGCCATACTCTTAAAGAACAAATGAAATAAGTTGAAACTACAAACACTTCAACTTATATTTCTTTAACTACATATGACCTAAATCCAACGTGGCATGTAGAAGAATTAAATGCAAGTAACGTATTTTGTGGTATAAAAATGTCGATGATCCAAAAGGTCACTTTTTTTATTCTCTGGCCAGTCAGCAATTAGCAACGCGTCATGGCTTGAGCAACATGATAACCGGGAAAACTGCCACAAAAAAAAAAAAAAACGAAAAAAAAGGTTTATTCCTTCTGTCTTGTCCTACCCTGAATATAAAAGTTATATAAATGATTTGTTTGAATTTTAAATATAAGATTTTGATTAACTTTATTTTCCAAATGTATGAATTCTCTCTAAGTATCCTTCTTGATAAGAGGGTTTTCATTAAGGGTAATTACAGTCCATGTGGTTATAAAAAGCATTGTTACAAAAAAACTAGATCAATTAATTTTTTTAATATTCATAATTAATTATTAAGTTTTTATATTAAACATGAGTATTTCATAAAATGGACGGAGAATTCTCCCCTCAAAACACATAAAAACACAGAAAAATGTATGAAAAATCAAGTCAAAATGCATATCATAAGAAGATAAGTTGCAGTCCAAGATCCAAGGACTAGCCAACTCAGATTTTAACCGTGCCAAAATCTTCTATCAATATTTTAATGCACCGCTTAAGACAGAATGCCCTGTTGCTCCATTTTATCTGTTGGATTTTTTGTCGTTTTCTCCCTTCTTGACTCTTATTTTCGTAGGTAATTTTTTTTTTTTTTTGCTATAGCATAGATATCCTCTTATTGGAGGTAATCGTATTCGAGACACTGTCGGGTACTAAATGTGGACACCTCTCCTAGTAAGGATTTGAACCTTGATTTGCCACATTGTGAGGGACTAGCTCTTTTCGTTAGATTCAACCCCCGTTGGCTTTTTTGTAGGTAATTTTGAATTAACAAAATGTATGGGAAAAAAACTTGGGCCAAAGGATCTCAACTATAACTAACTTTAAGGAAAATTAGCATCAAATTCAAAAAAAATATACTACTTCTGGTCCTTAATATAAGATCTTGTTTGACTTTTATTTTGGTTCCGAATATAAGACTTTAATCCACTTTGTCTCTCATATTTATGTATTTTTTTTCCAAAGTAATCCTTCTAATAATAATAGCTCTAGCTAATACAATTGATTGGTAAGGATATTTTAGGAAAGACAATACCTATTTATTATAAATAACTAACTTAACTTCTTTCCTTAATCCTCTCAAATTAATCAACCAGCTCTTATAATTAGGACCGGAGGTAGTATATAATTTTAACTACCACGAGAGTAATTTTCTGAAAATTAAATAACAAAACTCACATATAAGAACGATAATAACTTTAATATTTAAATATAATTTAGATTTCTAAATATTTTTCAACTGAAAGGTCTGGGTTCATGCCTAGTGTTAAAGTTTTCCTCTTAGTCTTTTGCCGAATCGACGTGGCTCAAAGTTGGCAGAACTAATTAATCTAATTAATAAAAACAAAGGCCCAGCCAGCCATGACGATGCGGGAAATCATTTTTAACTAAATTTCCATATTTTCTAATTGTTCACCAAGACTTGGGAAGATACGCATCCTCGTTTGTTTATAGCTATCAATTTTTGTACGCATGCAAACTTGTCATTTACCTGTCTGGATCAAAGAATTCCTCACCCTAGTGTTCGGTTCTTAGGGGAATGTTTAAAAACTCTACAAAACACTTAAACGTTTCATAAAACCCCTTACATAGTTGCCTCAGACTCCATAATATCATTTTTAAAAATCTAACCCAAACACAAATTTAAGTTATTATTGGCTATCCAGGTAGCTCTACAAGATATACTATTGTACTCAATTTACGTTTATGTTAAGGTAGACATAGCTTCATGTGGACGCGTTTACAGGAATAAGATTTCTACGAGTAGCTAACTAGCCCTTGCCTCTGATGTCTTTTAAGAAGTACTATTTGATATTAGAACAAAAGTGAAATATTATACATCTGGTCTTGGATCTCTCAATTAATTCAGGCCCCAGGGTACCAATTATTGGCATTGTCCCAGAAAAATTGAGATTTGAAGACGTTATTGAATATGTTGGGTCGTGTTTTCGTAGGTACTTGCATGTTCTGGTCAATCATAGCACTAGAGAAATTTTGTTAGTTGCCGATTACTCTTGTAAACTTTCATACAGCATGGAGCGCTATTATTATATCTTATCAACTGCCACCTAATCTGCATGAGGTAAAGATTGATGAGGGAAACTATACCTCCAGGCGCCTGCAGAACAAACTTGGCAGAAATACCTATATGCACGTCCGACGCATATATCCGCTTTTTTAACAACACAGCCAGGATTCAAAATAAAGTGCTGAAATGCTAATGTAATGATACAGACAAAGTCTGTTTTCAAAAATGTAAAACACGATGCTAACGTAATTCCATGTAGTCTGAGCATGAAAGAACAAACCACAATAGGCATGTTTCTCTTCTAGAAGAAGCAGAAGTAGGGGAGCTAAACATTTCAGAAGCGTTAAAAATGTACTAACAATCCAGAATACGACACTTCTCAAGAAAAATGAATCAAGAAAAGGATACCTAGGTCAAACTTCTAATTCTCTAAGCCTTGAAATATATAGATCTGAGTCAGATAGGACTGTCATATTCCCGCGCATGAACGAGCATTGGCTCAGTTGAACACTGAAGAGAGAAAAGGGCTATTCAACTGGAAAGCTAACCATAATGTCAGCAAACATCTTCCCTGCAGCATGCTTCTGGCATCCTGAAGCTTAAACAATACATTGCCTGCATAATTAAGAAAAATAAAGCAGTTTAGTGGATAATTATACACATTCTATCTATGCAGGAATTGCACAAGTTAGGTGAGTGAGTTTAATGGTGATAATAGATTACCTTGTTTGGAGCCACATCCCTGACCCGATGAAATCTTGGGTCTTGTATCTGAGCATTTATAGCAGACTCTGCCTCCTGCAAGAGTTTACCAGTTCGAGGAAATAAAAGGGACTTCAGTTACTAAACAACACAACGTATAGAAAGGCACTTTCTTGAATGCTACCAGAACTAAAATACTGGTGAAACACTGGATAGACAATTGTCATACAATAATTGTCCAGGCCCAGCTATCTAATAGAAGAAAATTCAAAATGCCTAAATTCATCTTAACTAGCAGAAGATCTTGAAAACCATAACTCAATGAGCCGACTATTTTCTTCTTCTATTTTTTCATACTGCAAAATTTCTTTTCTGAGGAAAACCTCTGGGGAGGGCAGGAGATAAAGCCATAAGCAACAAAATGAACTCACAGCTAGTATAGATTCAGGAGTTTCAGTTGCCCGAATGAAACAATAGCAATGAATCCATGGTAGATGTCCCTGCCAATATTTCCTCTGGATTAATCCCCTGAATGCATCTGCCAGGAAACATCTGATGTCAGATAACAGTCTAAAAATGTTGAGAGAAGAGGCTAGTAAAAGAAGATGGATCTAATTATCCAGAACAAATCATACAGAAAACAACCAAGAAGAACCTGGATAAAGATCAGTCTTGGATTATGACAGCTAGATTTTACAATAAGGTTAGGCATCATCCAGAAAGCCAAAGGTCCATGATCATAAGGATATATAATTCTCACCATGTGTGAGTATAAAAAACTATACAAGTTATTCTTAATCAAACTAAATTCTGAACCAATTAAAATTAGTAAAGCCACCCAACAACAAATTAAAAGAAACTCCCATTACTGATAAACCTTACAAAATGGCGTTGCTAATCATACTTTTTGACTTGGGAATTAGGGTCCAATTTAGGGATTTGAATAATGATTTCAGGACCAAGGATGCTTTCAGCATATTGGGCCTCGATTCATGTTTCTTCATTATAAATATGCAATTAATCAAATATAGTCCCTCCTTCTTTACCTTTCTATTATTGATATCGACAAATTAAATATTGGAGTTGTTTTAGAGTGTCCTTTGTTTCTTTTCTTTTAATTATGGATCAAAAAGTATCACCTGAGAGGTTAAAATGGCTAAATGAGTTAGGAAAAAAATATTCACATCGTCTGGCATCCCTACCTAGAAACTGAATAGCTGATGCGGGTAGATTCATTATTACATGGTCAGTATGTTCCCATGTTTTGGTGTCAGAAATGTCAGAGCCTTTAACTCTCTTGTTTGTGCTTCCTTTTCTGTTACCATCTTCAGTGATACCTGCAACAAGGAAAATAATTGCAAGCTTTACATTCAAGTTTCAATCACAAAGAATATCAGTAACAATGCTTTAATTTTGTTTCAGGAAGAGGGAACAGTGTTAGACAATATAGTTTTATGAGTCTTTAAGTTTGGAACTGAAGATTGCAGAAAAAATTTATGCACAATAAGATGAAGTAATCGTCACATCTAGTAGCAGCCGTATTTTTTACTATAGTCCCCAAAATACCTTCTTGAAAACTATCAGAAGATCTTTTACCAGCAGCAACAGATGTGGTACCATTTCTAGCTGAACCGTGAGCATCCTCCACACTAGTGTTAATACTATCTCCAAGATCTTTTGTCTCAACTGCCATGGAAATATTGGGATCAGAGAACATGCTTTCATTTATTTTGTACTAATTGATATTTTGCAGTTATTGATTACCAAATATATTACCAGTTAACCTCTCATTTCCCAAATGTGATTCAGAGATGTCATGTATCTCGCATGTTTCACAAGTCTTTGCTATGGGGACATTAGATTCTATTCTAATCTCAGTCTCTGGGACTTCCATCAAATGGGAGATGAAGTTCTTTGCATCCATATTGTATGCACGAATGCGATCATCAACCTTGTTGATTTTTGCATTTATCTTCAGATAATGGACGCTATCTGGATTTAAGTCATTTGCATACACTATGCATCCTTTCTGTGCTGCAGGAATAGCAAAAGGACCTATTCCAGCGAACATATCACAAATGATCTCCCCTGCTTGGAACTGAGAAACCAACCTTCTATGTTCATGTTCCAACCTTGAATTCCAATAAACCAGACTATAATCTAGCCTGAAAGTGGCTCCATATTGCTTCACTTCTGTAATCATATCATGTTCTCCTGCTAAAACTTCAAACTTGGGCACACGAAATTCATTGGTGATGGTTCCAACTTTATTAACAACAGTTTTGATTCTTGGATAATTTTTCTGCACAAATAGTTACTACACAGACGTTAATAGAAGGAATGTGCATGCTAAAACACATGCATGATGACTATTAAATATATTATGTTAGATTAATTTTTGCATCAGCATCAATGTAAACATCAATATAGCAATAAAGGGCTTTCAGATAAGTATTTCTTGAGTCCTAAAGTGGTAGTGAAAATTTATTCAAGCAAGGGCCGTAGAAATCTTTCATAAAGACATTTATAAAAGCTCTGTTCAAACAGGTCATTCATTATGCTTAAATCGGACCAGCGTAAAGATTTCGAAAGACAAATACATCACTACTAAAATCAGTCACAATCATAGATGCATAATTTTTTAACACCTAATTTAACCAAAGGATGGCTTCTCAGTACGACAGGCCAGGGAAAAAAGCATTAAAACATGTATTTAAAGCTCAAAGTTTCACCATTTCTGCAACCATTACATTGATATACCCAAAAAAGGAGTAATACCAATGATTATAAAAGCATTTTGAACAGGAAATAATCTTTTTAGGAGGACTTTCTAATCTCCATATGCAAGCACAGAGTAACAGGAGCAGCAACAAACACCCAATTAAACATTGAACATGCTGCATCAAAAGCCAGAAGTAGTCTAACATACATCATATAGAACATTGGCAATAACATCCTTGTACTGGAGTAATCCATCATGTAAGTTTAAGTGAGCGATGTGACCTGCATAAGTAGCACAAATGTTAGGTTACAACTAGTGACTGACCAAAGAGACCTTACCGTTAAGAAAATTGGTAAGCTCATGCCGCCCTCTAGGGAAGGGGAAAAAAACAAAAAAATTGAAAACGCAGAGCAGTAGGTTCATAACAAAAACAAGTGTAACAAAGTTTTTTTTTTTTTAAAAAAAAAAAGAAACAAAAAAAGTTTATTGTTATAGCAGAAGAGTGTAACCCAGAGGCTATGTCAAAAATCAAAATGAACTGAATACTTAACTATTGTTTCAAAAGATGAAGGCACCTCCACTCCAGGAGGCAGTATCTGCTTCAGCACATGATCTGCAAATACAGAAATTAATCAGAAATTTTAAAACATTAGCAAAGGTAGAGTAAGCGTAAAACATGAATTATTACAAATCTATAACCAAACAATTTAGCTGATAGCAGTCCACAGATAGGATATGATAATCAAATATTTTAAATTTTTATCCTCTTGTGTCTTTGGGATGTAATTTTTTTCTTTTAATTTCAAAGTGAATGGAAACAAAATAACATTGTTAACTGCAAGCAAATTTTACCATGCTAGACAAGAGGTTACAGAATTGGAATTACGTTTGTTGTACAAACAGTGCAAAGGAAAACCCAAACCAAAACCACGTGTTGAAGAAGATACTTCAAAGCAAATATTTATAAGAGCTATCAGCTGTCTATAGACTTCCAAACATTACTAACTACGACACCATTCTTTTATTATCAATCAATCAGGAAAATCTTGAGTCCCAAGAATTAAAGGAAAATCGAACCCCACTCCATCCAACAAAGTACTACTATACTAGGCAAGGTATTTACATAAATCTAAAGGCGCTTCCTCTATCCAGTTTTTGTTAAAAAGGGAAGGGAAGTGGTTAAGATGTAGCATCCACAGCACACTCTGGGAGAATAGCGCACTCACCAGCAGTCCAGTATGAATACCCCAGCGTCAATGTATAGGGCAAAACTTCAATCTCACACAACCCCTTTAGCTCCTCAAGCTTCTTCTCGGGGATATCAGATAAATCTGCCCTCGACCAAAATTAGGTCAGATAAACATGTTAGCTGAAAGTATAAATATGATAGAAGTATCATCCAAAAAAAAGAAAGGTGCAGCCAAGCCGGGAAACTGTCAAGCCATCATGGCAAATGACGCAGTAGCATTTAAAATAAATACTTTAGAAAATCATACAAAAACATTTTTTAATGAAAATAGAAAAAAAAAGGTAGTACATCCATAATCTCCACACAAATAATTGCTTAGCTGAAAATTTACTAATGTGCTACATATACCCTCCACCTTGGGAAGTCCAACAGTTAAATGATCAAAAAAAGAAAAGAGTTATTTCCAAAATTGACTCTATATTACATGAAGGCAGCACCATGTAAAGGCTGCCAGCCTGCCATCTAGATGTTTCGTGAAGTTTTCCTCAATTTCTGCCATGCCACTGCGAAATGGCAGCCAAGGCAGATGTCAATGAGAACACAGAACTAATAACAGCAAAAACATTTCCCTGAGAAGATTATTTTAAGAATTATAAGATTTTAGAAATCGGATTGCCAAAATCAGACATGCATGCAACAAAGCCTAATGCTCAAACAGATTTTAGACCAAACTATTCTGGCAACAGGTAGATGACTACTCAAGAATAACTGGAAAACATAAATGCAAGATGATGAATGACATGTGCATTATATAGATAAAATAATATTCCTTATTCTAGATCAATATAGTAAATGTATAAGAATAAAACATGTGAAGGATTGTCTCAAAAGGTGAGACAAGAGTTCAGAAGTTCACACCTTGATTTTGAACACTCTCGGATAATATAAGGTAGCGATTTTTCTCACATGTTGGATCCTCCGTGATAGGTTTAACTCGGGGCTTGTCAAGCAAGTAACTGCACAATGATGAAACTTGAATCAGAAATAAGAAGACAGATAGAAGTACAACATGGAGCCTTAAACAGAGAAATGAGTACCCGTTGAGTATTCGAGTGGCAACCTTGCACAGTTGGCAAGGTAGTCGAAGCGCCCACAATTTCAAATGCACGTCAAACTTGCTCTTCTCCAACATTGTGTGAAACAAGAATAATCAATTGAACTGAATGATGACAAGAACAATTCCTGATCCTGTTTCAGCAAAAGGTAAAGCCAACGAATAAAGCTATAACCGTAAACTAAGGTTGAAAGCGATTGGCAGCTCTCAATCATACAGCAAGACCGGATTCAGAAACCCTTGACATTGACAGCCAGTAACTGGATACCAGAATGGAGAGTGAGCGGGATGGAGAGCCAAGAACTAAGCAACAGTGCACGAGGGTGCCAGACTGAGGAGCACGACGGTGACGTACAGCGGAGAACCACGGCGAGGGCGGGAGACGGAAGAGCAGGAGGGAAGTTCAGAGTTCAGACTTCATCAGAAACAAAGAAGCAGACCGGAGACGAATTCGGAATTCTCAGAATTTAGGGCGGAAGAAGAAGTAGCAAAACGGCATCGTTTATGGAGTCTGAATAAAGGGAAAATTTCAGTAATCCCTGTTAATGTCAATCAACTCTTAAAAAATTCTGAAATTTCTATACAGCCGCTTGGCCAAAATTTGTTGTGTGAGGAGACAGTATACGCTTATTTTATTTCAGTTACAAATCATCAAATCTGTACTGCAAATTGTTAAATTTTTATTATAAATTGTTGAATTCTTATTATAAATTACCAAATTTGAGTTCCTCATCCAAAAAATTTATTTGGATTTATAACTCAAATTTAGCTGTTTACAACAAGAATTTAACAATTTGTAACACAAATTGATTGATCTGCAACTCAAATAAAATAATTAAGGGTATTTTTATCTTCTCACAAAGGAAAAATTAAGTAAAGAAGTATAATGAAATTTCAAAATTATTTTAAGAGTTTATTGATATTAATTGCTGAGAGAGTTCATTGAAATTCTTTCATATAAATAAGCCAAGTCAAGGCTTGCTTGAAATCATAATTTACAAAATAAGGAGTAAGCACCTCGAATCACTTACAAAACTAGATCCAAAGCTACTAATCTCGGCTAAACTCAGGTCGCATCCGGCCCGTACCACCCTTTCACCTTTCCCTTCCACATTTTCGGGTCTTCATTTTCTGTCAAACCCTCTTTCTGTTATTGGGCTCAGCCTTTGCTTAATGTCTTCCTCAATATGAGGCTCGAGCCCATTTTATTCTGCAGCCTATCATAAGGCAAATTGAATAAATTTAAAACACCAATAAACTGTTTGTTAAAGTGGTATACAGCTTCACCTGTATAAGAAAGAGAATACAAGTTGAATACTACTTTCAATCTTAATTATAAGATCTTATTTATAGTCTACAAACAAGATCTAATAATTAGAATTGGAGGTAATATTTAATAAAAGAGGTGCCCATGTTTCTCCATATGTCACCAGATATATAATGCATGAATTGAGTATTTAAAAGATTTAAACATGCATTAGCCCTCTACAAGTTTCAGTTCAACTTGGGGATGTTTGGATGAAACCAAATTATGGTTTGGAGAATAGCTTCTGGAAAAAATAGATTTTGTAAATAATAGATTTTATGAAAAAGTGATTCTGATAAATAAGAGTGTTTGGATAGTTGTTATCAAAAGAACTTTTTATATGTACAAATTTTACTAAAAAAAGCATAAGTTAATATGATAATTACATAAAAGATAGATTTTATAATATATTTTAATTTGAAAAAATAAAATTGTTAATAATATATTTTTTTACCAACATAATTAATAATATATAAAATAATATAATTAATATGTATATATATTTATAAAATATAAGATTAAATATGTTTATAAAAAAATAATTGAGGAATGTTAAAATCATATTATCGTTAAGATTTACTCTACAGGCACAATCATATTCTCCCATTTGAGTCAGAAGCAAAATGGATTCACTTTTTCTGAAACCATGGTTTTGATCCAAAACCATAGTTTCTGTTTTTTCCTGAGTGTTTGGCAAGTCTCCCAAAACCATGGTTTTCTATGTTATCCAAACATGCCCTTATAAATCATTGTTTATTTAAACATATTCATTGGTTTATTTATCATCGATTATCATGTTTTCGTATGTGTGCGTATTGAGATTTTTGAGGATAAAGGTAAAATATCTTGGGAGAGAAGTCACATCTACCGCAACTAGAACTGACACGTTTAAAAATGCTTTTTCAAGAATAGATGATATGGTATGATCTCAAAGGGAAAGAGAGACAAATAGATTAGAGCTTGAGTATTATGAGATTGTGTTGCAGGTGAGGGGGTTTGCTTGCGTTTTAGGGTCGGTTAAAACTTCATGTCAATGCTTATTAATAATTATAACTTAGCAATATATGTAGATATACTACTTTTGGTCCTTAATATAAGAGTTAATCAACTAATTTGAGCAGATTAAAAAAGATTGTTAAGTTAGTTATTTAAAATAAATAGATATTCTGTCTCTTAAAATACTTTTGCTAATTATATGTATTAGCTTAGAATTTCCATTTAATGAAACATTTAACATGTATAATTAATATAAGGACTACTTTGAACAAAATGAATAAATATGAGAGTCAAAACAGATTTGAGTCTTAAATTTAATACCAAATTGAATGTAAAACTGATTTTTATATTAAACATAAAAGGCAGTAATTTGTATTGGAATTAGTTTTCAACCATAGTGGACCCAGCGAAATATATATATATATAGTGATAGGATCGTTTTCATATAATTCTCAGTGGTGAGACAGGGAGTTCCACCATCTTCATCATTGAGAAGATGTGTCATCATATTTCCAGCTAATATCATCAGCTTCAACCTTTGCTTTTCTGCTACACCTTTTCAGCATTCGTTGAATCTACCTTAACTCCAATATTATCATTCTTGATTATGGATTATTGTGGATCCTACTATTAATTTTCCACTTTCTTTCTAATAATAGGCTTTTAATCTGGTATATATCGCACTAAGTGCCCATGATATATGAGTAAAATTTCTCTATATCTTTTTTTTAATAAGGAATCAATTCTTAACTAAAATTATAGCCAACTTTCATTAAAGTTCTTTGACATAACATATTGGTAATATGACGATAATGTTTGGTAATAATGAGGGCTTTGATGAAAGTTGACCAAAACTATAAGTTAAAGATTAGTTCCGTAAGAAAAAATTAATAAATTATAGGGTTTGGCTTTGATCTAAATTGAACCGCAACTTTAATAACAAAAAAGCATGGTTTTTTGTTTTGAAAACAATTTTTTGTTTTTAAAACAGAAAAATAAAAAAACTTGTTTGGTAACTTGTTTTTAGTTGATTGTTTTAAAAAAAAAAAAAAACAGTAACATGTTTTTAAAAACTAAAAAGCCAAAATAACTTTTACATATTTTCTTGTTTTTGTTTTCGTGTTTTTTATTTTTTGGTTTGAAAAATTTTAAAAAATCTTTTTTTCTTCTCACTTACTATCTACTACTTATCAATACTAGCAACAACTATCACTTACTAAGTATGATTTTTTTTAATCTTTTTTTCTTGTAAACATGATTTTTTTAGATTATTATCCAAACAAATTCTTTTGTTTTTTTTTTCAAAAATAGTTTCAAGAAACAATTTTACAAAATTGTCCTGAGAACAAGAAAACAAAGAACAAAAACAAACAGCCCCATGTTTCCCAGTTTTTTTAATGCCATGCATTATTTTTAAAGGATATGTATATTTCACGTTAGAATATATAAAATTTACTCAAATTATATAAAGCCCAAATTTTGGATGGAATCCAGGGAATGAGGCTGTACCCTTCAATGCTTTCAAATATATTGATACTGATGACGCATAAATTGGTATTTAATTTCTTAAAATAAAAAAATAATGTCATGAAAATTAAAAAATGTAATGGAAGAAAAGAGCGAAATGTAAAGAGAAAACGTGGGAGAATTCTCTTCACAAGAAGCCTACAATTGTGTCGTTCATAATCTCTATTTATAAGCATCCAAAGAGTTTAAAGAGCTTCAACAACATTAAAAAAAAAAACAGAATTAACTTATATAATTGCATAATATATAACTCTTATGCATTTACTAATTTTCTCTCATGTTCTTTTGCTTTTGCTGCACTGCAATGCTTGTTTTTGTGCAAGATTATATCATTTTTTCTTTGATAAAAGAGAAAAAAAAGAAAAGAAAAGAAACTCTCGAAGGTTATATATAATACTTATGTGAATATTGCCAAAACCAATTTGCCAAGCATGCTTTGTTCTGAGACCCACGAAACCTGGCTTGGCCTCCATGAATGTTCACATGCATTTTAATTTGTCCATGAGCAAGAATTTGCGAATCTCTTCATAATTTAAAACTAATAATTTTAAAAATAATGTTGGACAGGAAAATGATTTCTGAGATCTTCATTTAATTAATTAATTAATTTAAACTATGATTTGGTAGGATTTTTTTTTTATTATCAGAAGCTATGAATTAATATTGTTCTTTGCCATATCAGAGACTGATTTTTGTTAAGGAATAAGAGCTCTTACAATTGCATTTCACATGTAGGATATACATTATTTCATTTAAATTAATATTGATTATTATTTGTTGGAGAATCTCCACCACTATAAGTAGCCTTATTATTTTATGCCAATTTAAGCACATGATTATTTATTGGACAGTCTACATTCTTTGGTACATGACAGGACATTTTATGAATGATCTAATTAAATTTAAGACGCTGATACTTCATCTAAAAAGACTATCATCTAATGATTTCATATTGATGTATGGTGCTATTCTCAATTGATTAATCATATTGCTGTTGACTATTGATATTCATGATTAGTGTTCCTTAATTATATTTTCGCCCTTAGTACAAATTAATTGGAATATAAAGTTGGCTACAGTAAAAAGGGTGAAACACAATTAATCTGAGGTCATATAATTACCACGTTGCGAATATTTTAGAAACTTACGTAAAACTATTTTTTCTTCTCATATATTACCTCTGGTTCTTAATATAAGATCTTGTTTGACTTTTATTTTGGTCCTAAATATAAGATTTCCAATCCATTTTGTCTCTCATATTAATGCATTTCTTCCCAAAGTAGTCTTTCTAACAATAGTAGTTTTAGCAAATATACTTGATTATCAAGGATATTTTAGGAAAGACAATATATATTAATTACAAATAACTAACTTAACTTCTTTCCTTAATCTTTTCAAATTAGTCAACTGGCTCTTATAATTAGGAGCGGAGGTAGTAGATATATATAGAAAATAACTTATTGACGTATTGGCAAAAATGGCAGCAGTGAATAAATTAAGTAAAAATCAACCAAGTCAAGGAAAAATATGAGAGAAGAATTAAAGAACAAAAGATAATCATATTAAAAAAGGAAAAGCAACAATTAGGGCCAACGTCCATGAATACAGTGAAGCAATCTCATGAGCGTTTGATTCGGTTGGAAAGTTACGTATGAGCAGACATAAAGTTTAATTAATTATATTTCCGGCCAACAAACACGAACCCTAATTGATTAATTAATTAAGCTGAAAAGCTATCATTTATTAGTGAAGGCTATGATTGCGGCAGGTTTATTTTTCTTAATTCATTATTAATTAATTCAATTATTTTACGTCAATGATCCACCTACCACATACAGGCACCAGAGTCCTTATCCTTAACTACAAAATGTGATTTCCTTTTCTAATTTGAGACATAAAATTAGCAATCATGATATTTAAAAAGAATAGAATTTTTGTAAGTGACTGATACATGGTGTTTGTTATTATAAAGAATAAGTGTTTTTTTTTAATTACAAATCATTAATAACATTTTTTTAAAATTATCTCCATTTAAAGTTTATGCTTCCGTCCCCAAAAGAAGAACTTTTGTTTCTATATTTTATATGGTTAATTAATCACTATATAAGCAGTTGAATGACTTTGCAATGAATAATGATAATAACAATTTAATACGAGACAAATATTCCTCAAACAAGAAAATGGCAACCATTTATTCTCATTATGAGTGCCCCAACTGCCAAGAGCCTAACGTTCTTTGTCTTGGCTTTTGTCTTATAGTCGATAAATGGTGCCTGTCCAAAAAAAATTAACAATTGATGAGCATTATTAATCATATTTATTTTTTTAAATATAAAGACATGGATAAACCAAATAGTTACAATATAAAACAATATAGAGGGCACTATATACTATTAAAAGAATAGAATTTCCAAATATTAATTGAAAAAATGACATAAAAAGAAGTTGAAAATTATAATACTTTAATTCAGGCAACTAAGAGGTCAAAATCCTAGAAGAAAAAATAGTGCCTGATTTGGTATTTTACAAATGTAGCCAAATAAGTAAAATGCTCTTGTATTAGATTTTCTAAAATTTTTTTTTACCAAACTTGTTATTGTCAGTATATTTCTTGTCATTGTTTGTTCAATATGTGTTATTACTAATTCACAACTTATTAGTAAATAACTTGTCATTGCTAATACATATCTTGTCATTTACTATTAAACATTGGTCCTTACTAGTTCGCAACTTATTAATAAACTTTTTTGATACAATGGCATTTTAATCATTTGGCTACATTTGCAAAATACCAAATCAAACATCACTTCTTGTCCTGGGATTTTAACCTCTTAGGTGCCTAAATTGAAATATATTGCAATTTCCATCTTCTTTTTATTTTTTCTATTAATTATCTGTGAGAAATTATGTTTCATAACTTAGTAAATATAACTCAAATTAATTTTTTAAACCATTATAAGATTCTTATTCTGGTGGTATTAACCATTTGTATATTACCAAAAAAAACCACATCGTAAAAATGTTCATGAGTTAAAATGGACCCTTGTAAATTGAGGGAACCCAACGCCTACTAAGTTTCTTTTTCTTTTTCTTTTAATTTTTCTTAAACACAAAGAATGAGAAAATATACCTGCTTATTAAAAAAAAAAAGTTAGGAGTTCAAATCATTTATAAATATATTGGATTTGTGAAGTGAGGATAAAAAAGAATAAACGAGTAGCTGTAAATTGTTAAAGAAGGCGTTGACAGTGGAATGTATGTGCATTGCAGCCTGTTTCCCTGTGAACGTAGTAACTAGAAATGGAATTCACGTTTGCGTGATGGAAAAGTAGCGACCTTTTTCTTTTCTGTTGTAGTTGGCGCTGATCCTGAGAGCAACTACTCCTATTATTCCTTCCGCCACCTCTCGCTCACCATTACTCTCTTCAACTCAATTCATCAGTGTGACACCGACAAAGCAAAAGCACAACAAGCTTCTCTCTCTCTTTCTCTCACCATTGCTCTCTTGGACGATAAGCTAACAGAGAGAAATGAAATGGACCTCTTAACCACTCGCTATACCACCTTGTATCTCTACATCCTCTTTCTACCCAAGCACCCTGTCTCTGAATCCGAGGAGACACCATGTTCTGTTGGACCCACTTTCAAAACTCCACTAAATCCCCTGCATTCTCACACACTCTCACTTACCCTCCATGTGCTTCTTCTCTTTCGTCTTCTCTTTCATTCCATGTGAAGCAAGCATCTCACAAACCCAGAGACTGCCATCAAGGGTCCAAATCTACCTGCCACTGGACTAAGATTTTGAATTGACTGTCATTTCTCCTTCGGATATGGACCCCCGTACTCGTATCGATCACGCACTTTTTCAGCTCACCCCAACTCGCACCAGGTTCTGCAACTTCACATTTTCATGCTTACTTGCGTTACTGATTGGGCTATTTGGTTTTTTTCTTCACTTTGTGATTTTTGTTTTCTGTTTGTTTTGTCATTTCTTTGTTGAAGATGTGACCTCGTGGTCTATGCTGGAGGTGTGAACGAGAGTGTAGCTTCAGGACTCTTACAACCGTTTCTGGCGCATCTCAAGACGGCTAAGGATCAGATTTCGAAAGGTGGGTATTCTATCATTCTTCGTCCTTCAGTTGCTCACGCTCCCTGGTTCACCAAAGCCACCCTCCAGAGGTAATTCTTTATCCCTCAACAACTTTCTTCTTCGTTTTGTATTTTGTACTTACATGGAATGTTGATACATTAGATAATAAGTTTCTAAGATGTTCAGAAATCCAAGCGTTGGATTAGATCAATGATTTTTCTACGATTTTGGACTGTAAATGCTATGTTGTATAGTCATATATACTATGTTAACTGACCGATGCAAATGCCGCTGAGCTTTTAGTAACTTGGAAGATAAGATGCACGAGCTTATTTATCTGTTTCAATGCATTTTCAACAGGTTTGTGAGATTCGTAAGCTCGCCAGAAGTCTTGGAAAGGCTTGTGACAATCGAGAAAGAGATTGCGCAGATTGAAAGTTCCATTCAATCAAGTGAGAACAGCAGTGTGGGAGCAGAGGCAGAAGGTATTGGATATCTGAAATTGTCTCTTCTTAACCTTATTTGATCAGTTTTCTTAACGTTTTCTTTTTGATTTTCAATCCACTTCCTCGATGCAACTATTCATTCATAAAGGGATAGTGGAAGGTTTGTCTTTTCACTTCAAAATTTGTATAGAGTGGAAGAAGCTACTGATCTCTGTGGTGTCAGTTTCATGGTGGTAGACATAAATTTATAGTTTAAAACGTCTTCGTTCAAAGCACAAAGATCATTTCAGCCTCAAGATAAGACAGGATTAGTAAAAAGAAAAGGACAAGTTGTGTTAGCTGAATTTGCGCTCCCAAATATTAGCATTGTATGCATGCAAGTAAATCAAGCAATGGACAAGGAACTCCATGTTCGAACTTTTCTTGTTTGATGAATTGTATCAAAATAATTCATTTCCTGAACTTAAACCAGTAATGTCTCATGCAGATTGGAACTCCAAAAGGTCAAATACGATCTCCAAGGTATGCATATATGAATCTTGCTGAGGTTACCTTGGTTAATTTGGCCATGTATTGACCCTATGCCACCTGGTGCATTTTAGCTGAAAGATGAACTTAACGGAACCAATCAAGCTGAATGCGAAGAAAATTCCAGGTAGTATTTGAAGTTCATGCTTTCTTGTAAGACATTTTTTCATTCACAAAAGTAAATCTAAATTTTCCTGAAATTGTTTTTTCTATCTGTGTTTAATCATCAGGGTTCGCCTTCAACGTGTTCTGGATAATCGTAAAGCAATGCTTCGCAAAGAGCAAGCGATGGCATATGCTCGTGCTTTAGTTGCAGGATTTGACCTGGACTCCATAGATGATCTTATATGCTTTGCTGATGCTTTTGGAGCATCTCGTTTAAGGTTGGCTGCAATTCCAGTAAATAACTGCAATCGATTAAAACTGTTCACTTGGAACTGAAACTGTGACATTTGGTTTGTTAACTTGGCTAGGAAGAACAATGCTAAATAATAAACATAATTTTAATACACACGGCGATGCTGTCGGGTGTTATTTACTTTATAGAAGCTCTTAAGAATTATTGTCGAAATAATAGAATGTACTTTCTGAATGATATTCAATATTAAGTCCGTCTTTGAATCTGCTTCGCAATTGCACCAATTTATTCTCAAGGTTTGTTGATATTATCGTCTCTTTCTTGTTCTTTTTGGCATAATGGATCAAGAGTTATATAGTCATAAGATATTATATATTCACAAGATTCCTTTGTCCAGAGTCATGGACTGAAGGATTCAGAATTTTAATGCTCCTGAGATGTTCGCACTTTCTCTGTCTTTGCCTCATTCTAAAGCCCTTCTTCACTTTTCCCATGAAAAAGCTTTCGAAGTTTTGCTATGTAATATTAGTTTCTGTTTGTTTAGGGAAGCGTGCATTAATTTCCTAGAACTCTGCAAGCAGAAGAATGAAGATAGGCTCTGGATTGATGAGATAGCAGCAATGCAGGCACACTCTCATCCAGAATTGCCATACTTGAGAACATCAGGAATTATACTTGCTGGTGAAGATAATGATGCTGTTGGGAAGCAAAATGGCTTTGTTGATGCATCATTCTCTGAGTCAACCCCAAGCCATGCTAGTTTGGACATTAATCAAGGTATCTTTTCTGCGCTCCACCCTAACTGGGTTCATAACCAATGTATCTTTTCAATACTCCTAATTGGTCTTGTAAAAATGCACATCTTATGCAGACAATGGCTTGCCAACGTCAGCTCAGACACCCTCAACAGGTGGAAGGGCTCAAAGGCCAATGCCATGGCCAAATCATCTTCCTCAGTACCACCATTTTCAGGGTCCTTTATTTCAACAAATGCCACCTTATCAAGGCTACCTCTATCCTGGTATGCAGGCTCCCTCCTCATATTTTCCAGGAAATATGCACTGGCCTCCAAGCATGGAAGATTCTCGTGTTGTCATTGACCAAGAGCTGGATGATCGCTGGAGTCGTAAAGAATCTACTAAAAAGAAGAAACATTCCCAAAAACAGGAGAATTCTGAAGAAGATGAATCAACTGCGTCTGACAACTCTAGTAATGAGAGTGATTCAGAGGAACGATCTAAAAGTGGAAAAAAGAAACATGGAAAGAAGTCCTCAAGGAAGGTTGTTATCCGCAATATTAATTATATAACCTCTAACGGAGATGGTGAAAAGGGTAGTATCTCAGAGGCGAGTTTGTCAGATGATGAAGAATACGTCAATGGGGATTCCTTAAAGCATCAGGTAGAGGAAGCTCTGGATTCATTGGAGAGAAGACACAAGTCAACCTCCCGCCATCACAATAAAAGAGATAGGAAAAAACTTCCTGGCAGGCAAAACGGTAGTGCTGCTGGTCAGGAAACTAAAGCAGTAACCAAAGACAATGACAACTGGTGTGCTTTCCAGAGTCTTCTTTTGAGAGAAGAGGAGCCTACATCAGGTGCAGAACAGCATCCTGTACGGTTTGAGGATGAATATGCTGGGAATAAAAATATTGAGCACGAAAGGTCATCTGCATTCAATCTAAAATCTGACAAGGTAATGAAAGCAGTTTCAAGTGATTCCTTTATTGTGAATGGTAGTAAATTTGACAGTGGGGATCAAGCTTGTATTGAATACTATAAGGAAGGCAATGATGGATTCCCAGTTGTGAGGAAAATAAATAGCACAGATGAAGAGTTTATGCTTTCAAAGAGAAATGAAGAACCAGGGAACTATTCTTCTGCTGTTCTACCTGGCTCTGGCATAGAATCTTCCATCACTAAACGCCATAAAGAAGAGGATTGGTTTATTGTCAACCAATCAGGTAAACCAGCAAATGAAGACAGAAGCAAAGATTTTAGTGTTTTCAATGGGGATTCCATTTCATCATCAGCTACTGGTGGTTCTCATGCTGAAAAGAACAACAAAGGTGTGCTGGCCGATGACTCTTTTATGATCCAATCTTGTTCATCAGAAAACCAGTTCAGTTCCCTTTCAGCAGCACAAATAAGCTTGGATTCAGACATTGTTTCGACTGAATTTGCAAACAGCAGGCAAGAAAGTTTGCAGAATAGGAATGAAAAACTAAATTTCCATGAGCCAAATGATCTTTTCATGGTGCTTGATCGTGAAACAGCTGTGGAGCGGAGTGTAGCGCCTTGGACTGTGGAAATGGATTATGAAAATATTTCTTCAAAAGAACGAAATTCCAAGCCTTCGAATGTTGGAACAGATGAAAAGGAGCTGTGTAGTACTAAGGGTACAGGCACCAAAACTGCTGGAGTTCGAACAGCCAAAGTTTCAAGTAAAGAGACCAAATCTAAAGCCCAAAATGGATCACTTGGGAAGAGCAGATCCGATATCACACCAAGAAGTAAAGCATCCCCGGGAACCAGAACCGCAGTAGTGAAGAGCAAATATAATAAGGTAGCTTACATGTGTTGGGTTCTATTAATTTCGCTCGAAAATTAAGAGAATAAACATGTTATTATCAATTGGGATGTTTCAGTGCTTTTATCAGATCCATAACCAACCGGAGTGCTAGTCACTGTCAGTTTGTTGTGGAGGGTAGAAATTTTTTTTGGCCCGAAGCTTTTACTAAGTGGCCTATAACTGCTGGTTGCAACTCCACTAACCAGTAGTGTTTAAAACATCTTTATCTATGTCTATGAAGGGGCTTGCTTCTTGCTTCCATTGTTAAGTATTAAAACACTTGTATTTGACACCAAATACATATGGAATGTTTTTACCTTTCATATGTTTTAATCCACTCAGATCTATTTCATTGTTGGATTAGAGCGCCTTGCACTTTTCTGATTTTGTTCCCTTGTATGCCCTCGTTTCATCCACAGGAAGAAGAAAATAGAAAGAGAATGGAGGAGCTAATGATTCAGCGCCAGAGAAGAATTGCTGAAAGAAGCTCTAAGACGGGAACAGGAAATAAGACCTCCTTAACTTCAGTAAAGAATGAGAAGCCTAAGACTCGTCCATCTGCAGAGGACACTAAAAAATTGCAGAAGCCAGTCCTCAGGAATTCGACTATTGAGCGCCTTGCCACTGCTCGGGTAAGTCAGAAGCCGTCACCAACTCGGGCAAAATCAGGTACAACGAAGAAACTTCCCTCGAAGGCAAATGGGCTTCCTCCAAAAAGGACTGCTGGTACAGAAAAGAAGAAACTGGGTCCCAAAGAAGTCAAATCCTCAAATCACAAAGATGACAAAAAGAAACTCAATGGAGCACTTCCTTCTGACACTATTGCTAAGACTCCACATGACATGGGAGGCGAAGTAGTGTTGCCATTGAACCATAATGATACCTGCTCTGTTGAACCAGATGATATCAATGTTGGATTGAAAGACATTAAAGAGGTGCCCAGGACTTCTACAGAGAAAAATGCAGGACATTCGATTTCAGAAAAAGATTCCATGCTTGAAAATGTTGGCCAACTTGACACAAGCTCTGTGCCAAATCAAGGTCGCATGTTTGGAAGAAATCAATCTAAAGGTGAAGTGCTGGACAAGTTATCTTCAGCTCCTAAAGAAGACAAACCAGAACATACTACTGATGTGATCATAAATCCTAAAGCAGCATCACCTAACAATGCTCTAACCCCTCCAAAGTCTGCTGTGGATTCCAAGGTCTATCATGAATCACATGAAAATTCTCCTGCCCCACCTAAAAAATCTGAGATAGAAATTTCCACCCCTCCACCTAGTGGTGGCTTGACGTCAGAACCAATCCATTCCCGGAAGAAATGGAACAGTGTTGAGGATTCGTCTAAAGCAGCAAAAGGGTTTCGTAAGCTTCTATTCTTTGGAAGAAAAAGTTGAGATACCTCTGTAGATTGATCCTGTGAAAATTGGATTATGACAAGCAACTGAAGAGTTCTGATTACTTAGAAGTCCCCGTGACTTTTTTTTTTGGTTATTGAAGATTGTAGGTCTTTCACTGCTTGCCAAACATCACAATAAGCGGTCATATGCAGGGATTTGTTTGTAATGTAACTTAATATGAAGAAAAGGGTTGCATATGTAATAGTTAATTTGTATGTGGGCTGATTCTGTTTTGTGAATACCATAATTTTTCAATTTTCGATGTTTGGGATTGTTGTGTAATGAAGCTTCAATGTGTGTATTCAGGAACATTTGTGTGATAATCCATCAAAATATGAAATAAAATTTTATACCTCAAATTCATGTTATTGCAAGCCTCGTATTCTACAGTGTATGAAGGATGAACATAAAACTAATAAATTCTTGGGAAATTTGGTATTTTTACCTATTTGAGAAATTTATTGGCTAAAAGAATCCGGTGCAAATTTTTGTTCAATTATATGTAAAACTCTTTAAGACAAAAGTCATTTACATATATGCAAAAGTTAATAGAGTTTTGAAAGCCTTCAAAATGCAATTCAGTTTTGTGAAAATACAGACCTAATCTGATTTATGAATATGAAATTAAATTATTTACCATCATACACTCAAATATTGATTTGAAAGGGGGCTAAAAAGCCTTTCGTGCGGTACGCTAAGATAAATAATACCATTCGAAATTAAAATTACCACAGAAAACGTGTTGCTAGAAGACCAAGGAAAAACATAACACATAGGTGGGGAAGAACACAGTGGCACTAGCAGGAATTGTTACGTGTTAGCCTTTAAGGTAGCGTTATGAACTTTTAAGCCAAAAAAATAAGAAGAAAAAGCTTCATCGATGCAAGATTCATGATGCAATTATGATCCAATGGCATGGGCCAAGCAAAATCTGCATTGTTTGGCCGTTTGCGACATCACGTGTTTTGGTTATATTAAAACTACGACCAACAGGCTTTCATAGCTCAGTTGGTTAGAGCACCCGTTTAGTAAGCGGGAGGTCTTGAGTTCGACTCTCAATGAAAGCAATATCTCTCCTGCTGAGTTAATTTTTTCATTCGCAATTGTAGACGCCATTACCGAAGAGAGCATAAGTACAGACAAGCAGAATTATACTTTTTTCCCCCCTTCTAATGCTTCTTCGTCATCAGCTTACACGTAATTCTGCTCACGTTGGTGTTTGCTATAACTTGTTCGTCTCCTGCATTTCAGCATCCATAACTTCATCTTCCTGCTTCAATGCATAACTCCTTCTCTCCATGAAGAATTTGCAAAGGAACCCAAGTTAAGAAGTTTATAGTGGAAGTAGCAGAAGCATGACGAATCTTTGTTTAAACAGCTTTTTGATATTGAGAATCAGCATTAGTCCAAGCGCACTGATACAATATAAACATTTATTTTAAAGCACCGACACACTTGCTTTTCAGAAAATTGTAGCTAGTTATATATGTACAATACGGTGCACCGTCTCATTCCAATAGTTGTTTCTCAGTTGCTAACATCAGATTGAAAACTAGAAATTATATACCATCCCCAGTTGTAGGTTGAGATGTTGTTTTCATCTCCCTTGATTTATTTCATGTATCAACTTGATGAGCTTCTCATTTTCTGGTACAACTTTGATGCACAGATTCTGCTTCAACTGGGAGTTCACAAAATTCCCAGCACGTAGTTCCACATCCTCAGCATCAAATTGGATGCCATATTTTTTGATAAACAGTCTTCGTATCACAAGTAGTGGCTGCAATTCACCACATTTTGAGGCTGCCCATATCACACTTGCTATGGCTTCCGTGACCTTCATAGGCAAGTTTTGCACACAACTGCAATAATAATATCGTCAGAATGTTAAGCTCATGACAAAATGATGGTGACTGATGAGTGAGATGAGAGAACTATATAACTTGAAAGTAAAAAGATTCCTGTGTGGATACCTATATGTTCGCAAATATCTGCGATGTTGGTGATGATGCATTCACAGAAGTTCTCAATCTGATTATATTCAGCCACTTGACACTCGTCCCTGTAAAGTTGTTCAACCTGAAGTTTAGGGGCTGAGCGCATTTTCCTTCTAAAAGAGGGTGCTATTTAATTCTCTATTCTACTCTATCCATTTATTTCTTCTTCACTTCTCTTGTCAATTGTAAGAAGTAATATGAGCCATTATATTTGAAGCAATCTTTATATGTGTAAATAGGGTGTTCACGGGACGGATCGGGACCGGGACAGAGTCCCGGTTCCGTCCCGATGAACAGTACGGGACAGATTTTCTGTCCCGTGTCCCGGCCCGTCCCGGGGTTGTCCCGTCCCGGTCGGACGGGACGGATCCGGGACGGGACCGGACGTCCCTAATAATTTTTTTTTTAATTTTTTAATTTTTTTAATTTTTTTAATTTTTTTTAAAAATCTAATTTTTTAATTATATTTTTTTGAGCTTAAATCTCATAAAACATCTTTTTTATTTGTTTGGCACTCTTAAACTTAAACAAAAGCTCAAAATTTACATATATAGTTATTAAAAACTCTAACACAAAAGCTTTTAACACAAATAAACACTTGCTAAAAATTCTAATCATCAATAATCTCAAATCATTAACAAATATAAAACTCTAAATAAATATATCCATAGTTCCATACAATAGTCTCAAATCTTAAAAAATATAAAAAATGATATTATATAAAAATTAAAAAAATTAAAATTTTTTTTTTTAAAAAAAGGAACCGGGACGGGACGACCCCGTCCCGTGTCCCGTCCCGTCCCGGTCCCTTTTTGTCCCGTCCCGGTTTGTCCCGTCCCGAAAAATTTCGGGACGGATCCGTCCCGTCCCAATAAGACCGGGACCGAAACGGGCCGACCGGGACGGGCCGGCCTGAACACCCCTATGTGTAAATTAGTGATGCAGTATTGTCGAGAGAGAGAGAGAGAGAGAGAGAGAGAGAGAGAGAAAAGAGAGGAGAGAGATAGAGAGATAGAGAGAGAGAGAGAGAGAGAGAAGAGAGAAAGAGGAGGGAGGATAGAGAACCAAATGCGACGAAAAAGTGGAATGGATCCATCCACACTTAGTGGCGTTTATTTCTGGGGATATCAAAAATTAGGACTTTCAGGTATAGAAACAAACGTTTAGTCAGGTAAGACCTAACTAATTAATCTCTATTTCTATCTGTCTCCACTGGGATTCTGGAGCCTAATAGGTTTCGTTTTGGTGTTAAATGCTCTCTTCTTGATAGCATCAAAGTCATGAAACTAAGAGGCAGAAAGTGCCCTGGAGGATAGGGCATGGGGGAGGCTGCCATTGTGGAGGAGTTGAGCAATATCAGCTCGTGACTGCTTTATGATTGTGAGCTTCCTCTTCTTTTGAATACTTACACATGCTTGAACTTGCATTATCACTTTCTTCCTGCAACACAATTGAATCCAGAATAAATAAATAAAGCTTTGTTATTAGTGAGCTTCAATCTGGTTATGAAATTAGAATTTTAGAGGGAAAAAAATCAGAGGGACTCAGATATCATAACTCCCTCTTTGAAAAGAAGGGATGGAAGTCAAACTAATAAGTAGTAATTAATTCGCCAAATTGATTTTGCAAAATTTTAACTCCAAACCTATGCTTTAATATCACGAACTCTTCAACCCAATTATCACGATATCGTTGCAACAAAGTATTTAATACATTGGCCAAATCATGTGAGGAAAAATTTTGGCTTCAACGTTGACAATATGGGGAAAAAATTAATAAATTCTCTTGATTTCAACTTTTGATAACTAACCCATATGTCTACAATTTTATAAATATTCCTACCAAAAAATTCAGCTGCGAGTCATTCTAATCCTAATCCCAAATATCAAAATTTGAAAACTTCAGCACAAAAATGATTGAAACTGTGTGAGTCATTGGTTAAAAAAATAGCTAAGATAATTACATAAATAAATTTTAAAAAAAATACTTCTAGAATGTCGAACAGAAGAAAAGTAGAGAAAAAACAAAGGTTATAAGGCTTGAATATGAAGCTAAGGCAAAAAGGGAAAGAATTGAATGCTAAAGATGTACAGGAGACAGCTATATACATACGCAAAAATCAATGTCCTGTGCATCTTCTAATAATAGACACCAACAAAAGCCATACAAATGAGTTGTGTTATTTGTCACTAACTTGACAATCTGACATTATCAGCAAATACAACACACAAACATTATTTTTGTGACTTCTTGTTATTTTCATATTACAATAAAGTCTACTTTTAACTAAAATCACCTTAAAAAGGAGATGTAAAATTCTCTTAAAAGGGATTTTTCCTCTGATGTTAATTAGGTCGTGCTTATATATATCAAGAAATTGTTCAAAAAAATTCTTTATTAAACAATCAGAAGACTTCGGGGCCCAAAAAAAATAATTGACTAATTAATCAGAAGATTGTTGAAGAAAATCGGTTACCACTTATTAGAGGCTTTTCTCATGCATCCTTTTGGCATTGATCCATGCAAGAACAGCCTTAATTGCTTTAGGCCACATTGCTTTTGATGCAGGCGGCTTCTTCATTTTTGTTCACAGAATTGCAACACAGAACCCAGGAACCTGAACATGAACCACTCAATTCGTAAGAGCTGCATATATATATATATATATTGTATAGGACATTTGAACACACTATAGCTTGATTTGGCTCCATATGTTTGATGACAAGTAAAAATGGTTACAAAATCAAATTACCCACGAGCTTATGAGTAATCATGTGTTTGGTTCAATTCTGTGCATCAAGATAATATTTGTTTAATTTGTTGATCTCATGGTATTTGGTTGGCACAGTGAAGTAATATAATTCTGATTGCAACATATTACAACAAAACATTTATTAATATCTATTATATAACTTTAATAAGGGGTATAATCCATATTCAAACTTCTATTAATGAATCAACATGTGGATCTATATCTAGCCTCCACTGGGATAAAAATGTCATTTCATATTTATTTATATTCTTTTAGATAAAATATAAATTTCATATCATGATTTCTTAATAACATGCCTAACAAATACTCTATAACCATCATTCAATTACGTTACATTTTCTGGCATTAAAGGGCCACTCAGATTTTGCATGAATCTGCCATATCTGGCCCAGGAAAGGCAATAATTGTCGTGGATGATTTCTCGTGAAAGTCTTGAGACACATCAAGATGATATTATAATATCAAAAAAAAAAAATCAAATAGATATATATTGATTGAATATATGTCCTCTTTAGAATGTCGTTTATATTTATATTGTTCAAGCAATATTTTTTTATTAAATGTAAATCTAATTTTACAAATATCAAAAGAACCAGTCTTG